TAAAACTAAGGAGAAAACTGGAGACGTAAGATTCATAAACATCTATGGGAATTAAGGTCAGATTTCCAAACACTGTCACGGTTGTGATTTCCTTTGTTTAAACTTGATTAAATGAGTTTGAGAAGGCATGAAGGAGATATGTACACAAGTAAAGTAATGAATCATCAATTTCTAGATGCTGGAGACTCTGGTGGGATAGGCATTTTATGACACTTGTTGATGTGATGCTCACAGGGTAAGGGGAACACAGACTTGATACGAGACAATCAGAGGAACAAGCGCCATTCAAGGGTGAAATCTCGGTTTAGCTAACAGTGGTTATCATAACCAGAGTTGCTAAGAAACACAATGATTCCACATCCTTCTGCTCCTTGTTAACATGGCTGTTTGTTTAGTACACGACAGGGGATACATGTATTATCCTTCGATTGAGTGGTTAGAATCACATTACACCTAATTAACTTTTCCCCACGCTGGCATTTGTTCCTCAACTGAAGATTGATGATAATTCAAGGGAGCTAAGAAAAAAACACATTGTATTGTGAAGTATTTGGAGATGTAAAATAAATTATTTTAATTATTTTATACCACTGGAAGTTTTTGTTGTTATGGGAAAGGAGATATTCAAATAAAACAACAGGCAGATGGAACATTAAGACATTGTGATGTGGCAGCAATGAGACTTAACTGCATGTGGGATAGTTTAGCTACAACTAAGTTTGTTCAGTCACACCACCTTCTACTAAATTTTTTCATGTTGTTGAGGGCCAAGCAAAATAAAAACCATGACCCCTTTGCTTGCTATACAGAAAGAGGGATAAAATATAGGGCAAACGAACCCCTAACATTGAAATACAAAACCAACATCCTATGTTTGACAATTATAGAGGAAAACGTTAGCTGTACCCATCTTTCATATCTGATTTCACAGATGAGCGCACTAACCATGAGGCCACTGCCCCCCCCCCCCCCGGTCCCTTATGAAAGTAGTGCTTTATGAGATTAGAGGTGTTAAGAGGTGATAGCTTAACAGCAGTCGCTGCTCACATGACATGGCTGCTTACAAGAGGGGGTTGGTTTTAAGGCATACAAAGCTAATGTTAATCGTTCCAAAAGACACGTGGTCACTCCTACGCAGATGTTCTTTGGGCTCATCATGCTTGTGAGGCTAGTGGTGGTCCCTAACCAGAGGACGACGTTTATCATTTAACGTGGTCATAAAAAAAGGTGTTCCTTATGACTTTCAACATCACAATCTAGAAAATTTTTTAAAACACCTTGTACTAGCCTATAACCATGTAGTTCTGCACAATGAACTGTATTGCAATCACCGGTAAACATAAAAGATTTGAAACGTCCGTTAAGAAATCTTTTGATCCCTTTATTAATAATAATATTTTCCATAAATTAAAAGCAGCTAGTGTCTAGGCCCAATTATACATATTGAAATTCTACCTGACATGGAAACCTGAATCATAATGATTCACCTGAGCCTCATAGTGAACAAGTATAATTTTAATATATCTGATTGGGTTTCTTGGAAGACCATAGAATATTTCCACAATTTTTTATATTAAGTCTATTTTTCAGGTAGGTATTTCTTTTCTGCTTCCTTTAATTCATCATCTTTTTGAAGGCGGAAAACCTCCTTCACTGGCACAACCTGCAAAGGAACAAGAGAAGTCATTTTAATTTAAATAGCGTTCAAAATTGCAGTGGCTTAGTGTTAAAGTTAGTCTTATTCTTAAGCAGAATGCTTCTGCCAATTTGCATGAAACAAAATTATGTGGCCATTAACAAAAAGTTTCTTACCTTCTTTTCTACATTGACCAAAGACTGGTCATTGTAGATCTGTTGTGTGACATCCTGCATAGCTGAGATTGCAGCTCTCATGTTGTGATTGGCCCAGATCACAAGTGAAACACCCCAATCCCTAAACTGATCTGTTGGTACTGTGTAATACTTGGTTGGAACTATCACTACTGGGCCCTGTCAATTATAATTGCAGAGTTCTTTGATTGGCTCAGCAATACGGCAACCCATAAAGACACAACATTTGCTACTTATTGTGAAAAGTATAAAGTGCATTCAATGTCAACAGTATGAGGATCTTTGAATAATCTTTGTCAGAAGGAGTCAGATGTATCAGTGAATGATTAGTGTCATAGTGGAAGTGATGTATGACTCGGAGTGTGGAGTATGTGACGGAGTAAGAATGTACGCCTGAGTGTAACAGTTTAGCAATGTCGTAGCAATGAACCAATAAACCAGGCAAGAGATACATTTTTAGAACATCATGTTATGCAGACCCAAAGAACTAGAGGAATATGCAAATACACACAAGCATGTAAATAATTTATATGGACTCATCACACCTTCGGTCATGTGACCGGAACTGCGAACAGCATGAAACCGGTACTGAATATTACATGAACCAATAAATCCCACTTCTGACACCATGTCGTAGCAATGAACCAATAAACCAGGCAAGAGATACGTTTTAGAACATAGTGTTATGCAGACTCAAAGAACTAGAAGAATATGCAAATACACACAAGCATTTGCGAATAACTTATATGGACTCATCACACCTTCGGTCATGTGACCGGAACTGTGAACAGTGTGAAACAGGAACTGAATATTACATAGGGCATGGCCAATTCAGAGGATAGATGAACAAATTTCACCCCACTGCAATTGAATCTCTGACTACATTCCCAAGTTGGAGAGAGAATTATGCGATCATTGGACAAAGGTGACCATTGGCAAATTGTAAAGAGTCCACACATAGATTGGTGTGCAGTCATGAGCAAAATCCTGGTCATTGTATTGAGGTGGCCATAGCAGGGAGTTACTCATTATCATAGGTTTGTCGGTATATACAGGATTGTCAAAAGTAACCTGCTGCTATCGAAAATCACCATCTATTCCGGATATGCCCAATCTGCTGAGTAATTTGTCTGATTCTTTAGATAAAGATGCCAAAATCAGCCCCTACTCCAGCAGAAAAGCTGCCTACTTCAACCCTTGTGACAACAACCCTGCATATAAATCATAAAACGTACCTGGTTATTCCAAGCTTTTACAAAAGCTTCAATATCTGAAGGATCAGATTTCTTGCTGTGCATCAAGATTGCATCAGCTCCTGCATTGAGGTAAGCTTCAGATCTCTTGAGTGCTTCATCCAGGCCCCATCCAGCAATAAAAGCTTCAACTCTCGCCACAATACTAAAATCAGGGTCTGACTGTGTATCTGAAGGAAAATGAAAATAAAGTGGCAAAACTGTATCTAGAAGAACCCAACTGCCTTGTTCACTGATTTGTGGACCTTGACTTTGTCACAGTCCACATAATTTTACAAAATCAAAACTTTGTGAAATTTCTACATTAAAAATTTTGAACCAAAGAAACTTGAATGGTTAATAACAGCAACTCTACACTGTTGAAAGGTAAAATTATGTTATTGATGAAGCATGAGATCAAGATGGCTGAATACTGGTAATATTGTTTTTGCATGTTTGGACCAAGATGCAGTCAAAGTCCAAGGGCAAACAAATGAAGGACATTCAGTACCTTTACAAGCTTTGATCTTTGCACAGAACTCATCAATATCTGCCAGAGGCTGTGCCCTGCCATCCAACAAAGAGTTTGTCTTTGGGAAAAGCTTGTCCTCAATGCAGGCTCCAGCAATGCCTCTCTGTTCAAGTTTTGTCACCAAACGCCGGGCATTATTGAAGTTACCATAACCAGTGTCAGCATCCAGTAAAATTGGAATGTCTGTTGCATCACTCATGAACTCCATCACCTCCATTACTTGTGTCCATGATGCTTCATTGCTGTCTCGCACTCCCAGCTGTGCTGATATTGACAAACCACTACCCCATATACCCTTAAAGCCTGTAAAATGATATCAAATACCAATAGCTAGTTTTGTAAGAAATTATGATAATTAATATATAATGCAGGGGTCTTCAATTTGATTATAATTAACGATCAGAAAATAATGTTTACTGATGCTATATCTATGTAAGAGATGAGGAGATATCGGGTTAGCATTTCGTTCTCCAGATAGATCGATCTGGGTTTGAGCCCTGGCTGGGGTCACTGTGGTGTGTTCTTGTGCAAAGTGCTTTACACCTACAAATGCCTCTCTCTGCTCTCTCCGATAATTTTTATTAGCAGGATAGTTTAATGTTCAATGTTGCTCCATGCTGGCGTTCCACACACCCTTATCATTTTTGAATACTGTGAGTTTTCTCTAAGGCAGACATTCCCAGAAGCGGCTCTGACTAGCTATCTGGCTTAGAGAGCCATGTTCAACATATCAGTATTCTTACATAGCTCCAAGACTTTTACGACAAACTTCTATAGCTGGTGGTATTTTCTTTGCATCCAAGTCTCTTTTGGGAAATGAGAGACAAAGGAGACTTAATATCAAATTTCCAATTTATCCTGAAAGCCTGAGAGCCAAGTTAGAATACTGGTACCGGGGTATGTATTGATATATCAAACATGGGCTATTGACCAACCAACTTTCAATGACACTGACCTGCCTCTTGCACTATTTTAGCACTTAATCCATTATGGGCCTCCATGATAAATTCTAATTCTGGTGATTCCAACATCTTTCTAAGTTGGGTAGTTTTCTGAAAACGAAAACTGTATTTAAGACAATAACAAGTGCCACTTTTGACTTATTTAAAACAATTGATTCCCATTCTTATGGTCAAATCAAATACAATCATTATAAAAGCAGTCCAAAACACTAGCTGAAGTCATTCATTGAAGTGAAAATTTTGTATGTTATGGTATGTGGATTGGAGTGTATAATTAATACAAATCTACTAGTGTTCTATCATGAATGCTGTAATCTCTTAACAGCTATGCTACTCACTATCTAAATCAGACAGGGGCACTCTGTAAGTCTTTGGGAAAGGGTGTGCCACTGGGGCACTGAAACCCTTACCCTATACTAGACCACGATCAGCTTGATTTTGCAAATCCATTCCAGACTAGGCACCAAAACCCTTACCCTATCCCAGACTGGCTATTTTCCAGGCAGATACTTAAATACCACAATCATAGTCCAACATACACTAACTAAACCAATATCTTACAAAGTCACTTCTGAGTTTGAATTTCTATTATAGAACCCCAGGTAAAGAACCCTGTTCCAGACTAAATTATTTATACACTTTTTCCGGTAAATTATGCCCCATTCTAGACCAAAACTGTATGATTTCTACACCCTATCTCAGACAAACCTGCCTGAAAACCACACCTTTCACAGCAACACATACCACCATAGCTTATATTTGAGAGTAGCCCCTACGCCTCCCTCCCTAGGGCTAAATCCTACCTTTGGTTTGTTGGCAGCCTGTGATGAGCTTAATCGGATTACAAGTTTCTCTGAGAACAAATTTCAACAAATATAATCAATACGATCATACAATTTTTGCAAGCTGTTGTGCTTATGGTCAGAACAGTCAAGTATCAAAAAAGTTCACAAAGTGAACTTTGGACAGCTTCTATTATATATCAATAATATTTTCTAAAAAAATATATCATCTAAAATTCTGTGTAAGTGGTGTGGAGTTTTATGAACATCAAGTGTTTCATTTCAAATACAACAGTATTTAAGTATATATACAGAACTTTTATGAACTTTATACCCAAATTATCCAGTATAATCTTTTTACTGAGTATTAGAAAATTAACTAATTTCATTTCAAAATGTTGTCTTAAGACTGATTTTCTTAACATTGACACTACTTTTGTCCCTAATAGAAAAGATTCTTCACAAAGAATGAGGTTGTCCACAGCAACATGACAATCACAGTTTCCTCTAAAGGGAGGAGGGATACATCTGTAAGCCACCTTGTAAAATTGTCAGCCGGAGTAGAGGAATACCAATACAGTAAATATTGTACTTCAGGGTAGTCAAAATAATAATGCTGTACCCCCCTTCCCTTGTGGGACGTGCCCTTTAACTGGAGTTGGTGCAGCCCCTCCCAGCCCCAACAGGGAGGTGTACATGTCACTCTATAGTAGGTGTTTTGTTTACACGAAACCCACCAAGAATGATACAAGCTTACTTTGCGAGTAATACCACGAGAAATTTAAGCGGTTATCGATTATTGTAGCTGAAGGAATTGCTCGTGTTTTCATTTGGCAATGAATTGATCCCGGTTCGGTATCCGACCGACCGGTAAACTCCACACAATAGTGCACGCAGAATATCTAAGCTTATAATCGCCCTGCTCTAAAACAGCGCTTACGCTACAAGCGACAAAATGAAACGCTGGCAATATATATAAACTTAAGCAGAACACAATTGAACTCAACAATATACCCCCAGAGAACTTCATTTTGTACGCTAGACTTCATACAATCTTAAATGCATTATGTATGCACACGCTGATGTACACAAAGCAGTAAGACTTTATAGAAAAGCAGCTTCGCGTGTGTCGAACTCTTCGCTGAGAAACAAACGTTTCTCGTCTTTACCTGTTTCCCGTCTTTACCTGTTAGTTGAGAAGTTGAGGTAGTGGAAAGCCGACCAAATGCTCGTCGAAGTAACATTGTTTTAGACCAGAATTGACGCTATACCTAACGAAGTTAATGTGACAGACACGATCGGATCATGGAGACTTGGAGAAAGACTGGAAACTAACGGTAGATCGAGCATCTTGATCGAGCTACCGTGATCGCGAGAGCTGTTGTTGGGGTTTCCTTCGTCTAGACTTCCGGCCCGTTTCTCGAAAATTTTGGCCTGCATAAAAGATGATCAGAACGTTTTCCCCTAGTAAACAAACGCACCATCAGATTCGCATGCTCGCTAGTATATTTCTACCTCACCTCTACTAATTAACCTATCCCGGCTATGCGACCTCGATCGATCCTGACCGGAAGGTCGAAACTGCTTCCCCAAAAAGTCTAGGCTTGAGAGTTCTAATTTTGCTTGCTTCCTGCTTCGGAAAACTAGGAAGTGAAATATGACGATTGCAAAGGCAAGAGCGGGATTTCGATGTTTCTATTTTATGATATTTTATTAAACGTAGCAATGTAGGTATATTTTGGTCCAGTTGCTATGAGCTGGAGGGGACTATTTATACTGGTACTGTATTTATAATTTTTTTTTGAAGAGGGCCTCTGCCTAGATCAAGGTATGGTGTATAAAATTATCAAAAAGGATCTTGCGTATGTCCCAAAAATGTGGGACTGAACTTACGTTAATGTAACTTATTTAATTAGCAGATTTTGTTGGGATGCCAAAGAACTTGATTAGCCAACTTATCCCAAGTTCTTCCAGGTAAACAAAATTAACAGTAATATTCGGATATTCAGTGATTTAAAAATCACAATGCAGGCAAGTTTAAACTCGTTCAAATTCGAAGAATCGGGGATTATGACATCACATTTGAACGTAATAAGAATTGAAGAGCAGTCCGCGTATCTGGGCAAGTTTGAACTTGTATGATTTTCATTGCTGTACAGTGCGCGTGATGATTGGTTGTTATCGGAAGTTCAATATTTATGTCTTGTTAGATCTGAGTCGTGATTGGTCCGTTTCAAACAGACAAATTCATCAACAGCTGCGTATTCAGGCAAAATATGAAATATTCATGAGAGCGGGCAAATTACAAATTACACGCCAGAGTTTTGGATGTTATAAGCGGTGTGAACCTTGGCTGTACGTTCAAAATGTCCAAGAGGACGAAAAGCAGGAAGATCATTGTTCGGGTAAATGGCCAAGCAAACCAGGGAGGAAGAAAAGAAATGGAAGATTTTAAACGCGTCGTATTCGATCGAGATCCGGAGCAAGCATTTTTCGCGGTCTTTGATGGCCACGGTGGAAGAGACGCGGCCATTTTTGCCCGGGAACATTTATGGGACATAATAAAGCAGCAGAAAGGCTTCTACTCGAATGATACAGCCCGAGTCACTAAAGCCATCAAGGATGGATTTATGGCGACACACTGCGCAATGTGGAAGCAGATCGGTAAGTAATGGTGGCCTTCATTTTCGATTTATTTTTTTCGCTTTTCTGAAGCGTGTGGTACGAAACAAACTGCGCCGATCGGTTCTGCGCACGACATTTGAAGAATCGGTCGTATTTCTCTGCCGATCGCCTCGTAAAATCGAAAATAAGTTTTCAGTTTGTATTTATCCCGCCAAAACTTTGTGTTCGGTATT